TCTACTAAATCAACGTTGTTGCAAAACGTTGACGTTTATTGAATTCTTGATATTGAAACCAAAAATATAAAGTTTATCAAATGAAATAAATAGGTTTTGTTCAGTCATAAACATTTATTGTTCCTTGTAAAACTAATTGTACATATTAGAATAGCTATATCCAAGGTATAAGTGATAAAAAGAGTGCCTTATTAAGTTATTCGCAACTACTGTAGACATGTAATTCCTACAAATTTATTTATCTAATTACATTTATTTGATTTTATTTAGGCTCATTTTTCTAATATTAGTGAGTTATATTTATTAGGACCAAATAAAATTTTGTGTATCACCTGGAAAAAAATTTGTACTTATTTAATACTTAGTTATTTTGGAAAACTAAAACCTTTTTAATGCAGAAAATATCAAATTTGTTATCTGCATTAAGAAGGGCACATCACAATGAAACAAAATTATGTTCAATAAAAGTTTTGTATCTACTTCCAAGAATTTAAATTCACCAATTTTAAAAATATTGACTTGGTTTGTTCCAATAACCTTATTAAAAATATATTAATAGCGAAAAATTAAAATATATTGACTGTAGTATTAGTTTTTACTGCCATTTTCTTAAAATTCAGAAAAAATTAAAATGTAGTTTGAAACTGGTTGCCGATCATGTAACAATTTGAAATACCACTATTTTGAATAATATTAATAATAGATATCAGGTGCGAAATGAAAGATCCAGATTCCGGATTTTACAATTCCAACTCAGACTTTATTTAATTACAATGTCTTATTTATATTACAAATAATATCTCGCCTTATCGGCGGAGTGATTTTGATATTGTGTGATTTTTTAATAAATTTATAAATGGTGTGTTTTATACGAATGTTGATATAGTATATGAATGTGCAAAAGTTTAGATTAGGTTTACTTTTTCATGTCATCGGTCTTAGAATTCGTAGTACATTCCGTGCTAATTTATTTATTATTTTTATTACTGCTTTTTCATTGTTTTCTTCCTTTTTTCGTGTGCCTATATGTGACCGATGAAAGAATGAAGTTTTTTGTTATTTAATTAATTATTTAATTTGTGTGTTTTTTTTTTTCTCAAGCAAGACCGTTTATGTTATGTAGTTATTTTATTATTATAATTTATATGTAACTTATTTATATCGCAATATTTACAGACCAGCGTTCTCAATGTTCAGTCGGAACGCACTGTGCTGAGCTGACTGGTCGGGAGTACGCGCAATACCTGTATATTATTTATGTATCTAGCTAATAATGTATCTTTGTATCTTTATCAATAAATTATATTTTGTTCATTATAATTTTTTGTATCAATTATCAATACCTACCTAATGCCTATTATATCCAGTGATCCACAAAAAATGTTTCTAAAAAAAGAAAATATTACACTTTTTATAGATTAGTTAGAATTACTTTTATTAAAAGAACAGTTAATGGAATTTAATTTAATTAAAAATAATATGCTGGTTAGTATTGAAACTTTAACTGCTGATAATGATATGTATGCAGAGCTTAGATAAAAGAGACCAGAGATATAACATACACCAGTGTTTAACCTGCGCAAATGTTGCCAATTTCTAAAGAAAGGTTAACTTAGTGGGGGAACTGGGCGGGGACTCGAACTCTGTGACAGGGACCGGACTTTGTTTATTAGCATCATAATGAACTATTAGATTTATTTAAAATATACGTTTAATGGAATTTTGTATTATGAAATAAATTTAACGTGATTTTTTAATATCAAACAGATGCCACGACATTTTATGTAAAGAGAAGACCTTCAATAGAATATTTCGTTAGCTATTATTTACTATGGACTTTTCTGTAAGAGACTACAGTAAAATGTTGAAATAGAATATTGTTAATCGAGTAAGAAATTGTACTCATTGTCTAAGAGTATTATAAAAAAGCATGTGCGCAGGCGAATACTGCAAATCAAACCTTGTGAGTTGAACATTATATTTTTTCTACGACTATCACATAATATTAAAATTTAGTCAAAATGAGAAAATGCTGTTTTGTATTATAACCTCAGAAAAAGATATATTAAAGCTTGTTTCTTTAGGAATATTAATTAATATAGAGGATGCGCCACATAAAACTCTAGAAATGTATATGTCTGAAACCAGAAAACATTTTAAAATTTAAACCTATTAAAAGTCATTTGGTCGCTAGGAGTGGGTGATTATCGAAATAAATTATTGATCATTAATAATAATCGATTATTTTCGATCAATCGATTATTTTCAAACAATCTATTTTTATTCGTATTTCCTTTAAAATTGACTACTTGATTATCTTTAAAAAATAAAAAAAATAGATTAATTAAAAAGCCAATTAACCGATAAATCAGTGTTTACAAAAAATAATAAACGAATTATCGTTTATTTTAAATAATCGATTATTTTTAATTTCTATTTTTTTTTTTCGTATTTCTATCGATAATCTTTGAAAAATCTAAAATAATCGATTAATCAAAAATAATCGATTAATCAAAAATAATCGATTAATTAAAAAGTCGAATAATCGATAAATCGATTTTTCAAAAAAAAAAAAGAATTATTTCCTTTAAAATCAATTATTCGATCATTTTTGAAACATCGAAAATAATCGATTAACGGAAAATAACCAATTAATTAAGAAGATTCTACGATAAATCGATTTTCCAAAAAAAAAACTGAATAATTAATGATTATTTACAAATAATCCTTTTCTTTTTTTATATTCCTTTTAAAACTGATTATTTAATTTTCTTTGAAAAATCGAAAATAATTGATTAATAAAAAGCTGATTTACCGATAAATCAATAATTCTAAAAAATAACCGAAATATCGATTATATAATATAACCGATTATATTCGATCAATCGATTATTTTTATATAATCTATTTTTTGTATTTTAAAACAAATTATTTGAATACCTTTGAAAAATCTAAAATAATCGATTAATCTAAAATAATCGATTAATTTAAAAAGTCTATTAAACAAATCGATTTTTCTAAAACATCGATTATTTTCAATAAATCGAATATTTTGAATAATTCTACCCTCTTTTTGTAATTCCTTTATAATCGATTATTCCATTACCTAAAAAAACGAAAAAAATTTATTAAAAATGTTTGATTAATCAAAAATAATCTATTAAAGATAATCGATTAATTATAACGGATAAATCGATTTTCATGAAAACGATAAATCGATTATTTTTGTAACCCCTATCGGTCGCATGCTTTTATCGAGCATTTAGAGATTCGGATTTATTGATCCTGTTATCTTTGAAACCGCATTCGATTGTATAATAAATATTGCTAGAATTTAGATTTTTTTTAGTAAACGAAGATATTTTTCGAGTTGTTTAGGGGTTTATAATGTAACATTTTACTAATAATATGTCTAATTTCCGTAACTTTAGTATTTTTTGCTTATACTAGATCATTTTGCGCGTTTTACTTTGTTTTAAGATTCAAATGTCACTTCTGATTTAACCGCAAATAAAATAAACCTTGAAATTTTAAGTAGGTGAATCTGTATTTCATCTAATATTCTTGTAAAAATATCTAATAAAGGGCTAAAAACCACTTTTAGTAAATATTCTTATAAAACTACTTTTTAAAAACAAAATTTCGTTAGTAACAATGCCTATTTACTTCTTATTTAGATTAAATATTTATTGAAACCCCTTAATGCGGATCTGAAGTATTCAGCTCAAAGAATCATGGCGACTTTATGTCAAAACGTCAACAAATATTTACCGCTGAAAACGAATATATTTCTTATTTTTCATAACATTGACACATATTATTTGTATATACAATTTTTCACCATACATCGTGGCATTTTCAACTTGAAATTGAATAACTAAAACACTTTAAATTGCTAATAACACCAACAAATAATTCAAAAACGGCGGTCCATAAATGATTTACTCATGCGGAGACAAGCAAAGAATAGAAATTTCGGAGCAATTCGGGTGGCGTCGTGAACACAATGATTTTTAATTGGTGGGTTACTTAGGTTTGGAATAGACAACATGCGCAATGTGCAATGTTACATCTCCGGTCTCTTTTATCTAAGATGCAGAGGAATTAGCTAAACTTAAGTTAGAATTGGCTGATAACAAAAATATTCAAGTCTGTTCAAAGAGTTTAAAACTGAATAGCTCCATTGGATATGGTGGCAAAAAGATGACAGAAAACAAAGAACAAAAAGTTTTGATTTTATGTGATGAAAGGGGTAGAGGAATAGGTGTACGACTTCAAAAAAGATTAAACTGTAAAGTACTGTCTTTTATGAAACTCATCTTGACAATATTATAGAAAATATAGTTGAAATGTCAAAAAATTACACGCTGAATGACCACATTGTAATAATGGGTAGTCTAAACAACTTAAAAAATAATACATATCCCAAGTTTCGTAAAATACATGATATTGTAAAATTGTGCACTCATACTAATTTAATTTTTGAACAATCCCAGATGTCAGTCCTCACAATAAATTAAACTGGTACAGAAAATTGGAAGACTATGTGGTAAAACTTGACAAGTATGCTGAAGGAAAAGTAAAGCTATTAGACATTTTAAATACACATGGTGAATTAATAAATAAAAAGCAATTAATAGATAATTTGGTTAATGAACTTAAAATTCCTAAAGTTAGCAACCTTACTTTTGTTAAAACTGTAAATGCTCAGTCTTTTATTGATTTGACTTTAAATGAACCAATGTACAGTAATGAGAAGTCAAATGAATGTACTAATGGAAACCAAGATTCTGTTTTGGAGACCACTAAATCGGACATCAACGAAAATGCACGTGCAGAGGATAAAGGCCAAAGTTCTTTTTTAGTCAACAGTCAGCAAATTCAAGAATTAGATTAATCAAATTAAATATTAGTATTCATGATAGATTTTCAGTGAGTATTTTTAATGTATAGCAGGTGATGTTATTTTGCTATGGGGTTCTTGTAAGGCATTTAAACAGTGAAAAACAACGTAACTTTAGGTGATTTATTTTAAACTTGCCAAAAGAACTGAACAGAACAAAGACGCTGTCTTACGCGCCATGAACCTTCTTTAACATAACCTAAAAATGTATTGTCTTTCAATTAATTGGAGTCATTGGTAAAATGGGCCACTGACGGTAGGCAATATAGAATACACGTGTAATGGTGGTGGCCTAATAGTAGGAGTGTTATAACCTCCCCCTTTGCTTCACGTAGAGTCTCTCAAGTGAAAGCAAGAGAAAAAGTTGTTGGATTAAGTGCAGCACAAACCATAGAAAAATAAAAAGAGAAGGTTTGAATAAATGGCGGGACTTGTTTCCTTCGTCGGTAGATTTGTAGGTTTTCGTGCACGCATCCATGTATTCGCCTTGCCCCATCCCCTTCGTATATAGTGTTTATGTCTTCCTTCAGAAAGTCAGGAAGACAATGATTGAAGAAGTTCTCTGCCATTTTTAGAACAAAGTCTTTAATTGGTACAATGGATGCTTGCTCATGCATGTCTGTTATACGTGCATAGCGGTCGCACCCCAAGGCTAGCCGCAGACACCTGTTCTGTGTTATTTGGAGCTTTTCAAAATGGGTATTAGCCATAGAACAGTAGACTGGGCATCCATATGTGAGGATCGGCCGTAGTACTTGTTTAAATAATAGTATTTTATTTTGAGTTGTTACCCCGCTACGTTTGTGAAGTAGGGGGTATAGCGTCTTTATGGCTCCATTTGTTTTTGCAGTCCGATCCACAATGTGTTGCTTGAATGTTAATCCCCTATCCAGAATGAATCCTAGGTATTTGACTTTGTTTTGTGTGTTAATTATTTTCCCTTGAACTTTAAGTTTTGTTTTTATGTTATCAGTAAACCTTTTTGTTAAAATGAAGCTTTCAGTTTTCTCAGGATTAATTTTTATTTTATTTTCATCCAGATAGGGGATTAATATTCGATTTACATGGATGTCCAGTCTTCTGAGAGCTATCTCCGCGGAGTGAGATGTCTTATAGATGCAGGTGTCGTCGGCGTATAGGGCCGTCTGTATACCATTTTGTCCCATTGGCATGTCATGAGTCAAAATGGTACTCCTGCCTGTGCTATGTATGGTTCTGTAATTGTATTTTTTATTTTGATGTAGAATTGTCTGTTCTGTAGGTATTTTTGTATTATTTTTACAATGTGAACGGGGTAGTCATTCTCAAACATTTTGAATATCAGACCATCGGTCCAGACGGTGTCAAAGGCATTCGCAGCATCGAGGGCAACAAGCACCGTTTGGAGTTTATTGTTATATGCTTTCTTCGCGTTGTTAGCTATTCTGATGATTTGTGCCGTCGTGCTGCGTCCAGTCCTGAAACCGTACTGTTCCTCCGGTATGATATTCTTGTCCTGTTCGTATGTCATAAGTCTTGTCAAGATGATTTTGTCTATTACTTTTTCTATGCCATTTAAAAGTGATATAGGTCTATCCCAGCTAGCACATAACGTTGCCAAGCCTTTCGGCAATGTTGCATTAAGGGAACGTAATAACATTACTGTACAACGTAAATGCAACGTTCATGAGAAGTTGTTGAGGGAAATCAAAACCTCGCAAAACTTCTATTTGTTATTTACCTAGTTAACCTACCGTAAACATTACAAATCTGAATTCAGAACGTTTAGTTTTATGTCAATTGTCATTTGTCAGTTTTTCTTGTTAATTGTTTTTTTAATGGTTTATTTTTCGACATCCAGAATTTATTTTATAAATAATTATTATTTATACATTCGAATAGATTTGGTAAGGGTCCTCTATAAAATAGATAACTATTTTCTAAACCATTGTCTTTGTTTCAGATTACAATGCCTGATGTAAATTTATTATTTCATTCATTAAGTATCTTTAGCAGTCGATGCCGATGACACCAAATAAAAAAAAACTACAATAAAAACAAAGAATCGCAGATCAATCGTTGTAAACCAGAAGATAAACATTTAACCGAATGTCCGGCAACATTTTACACCAAATACTTATAAAAGGTAATTATACTTTATCGAACTAAAAATACATTTTAAAAATATTATTTTTTAGGTTTCCTTCGACATTCTAGGAATTTTAGAAGCAAAAGTAAATACTACAGAAGTGTCAAGAAGAATATAACACCTGAAGTTTTATAAAAAGTGAATCTATAGGTACATGATATGTCAGGTATATCAGAATTCAAGCAGTTCATTCTCTTCAACACAGGCTAGATTGCCTGGAAATGCAACCATCAGTTCAAGTGAAAACCTAGCAGAAAAGTTGAGAGAAATCATAGATGATACTCTCGAGTATAATAGAATATCTTGCTAAAAAACACCAGTTGTTTTTTATAAAATCTACATATCGATGGCTCAATCAAATAAAATTTAAAATAAATATTTTCACAAGTATAGTTAAGCCCATCCGTGGACACACTGTATAATGCTGTAGATCTAATTCACATTATAACATCAATAGAACGTTTCAGAGCAACTTTCGGGGTAAGTACCGTAAAAGTGCTAGTGTGATGTTTTTCGAACTTCACTTTGTAACTTCTGTGATATGTGCTATGTGATATCTTGCCGTTGCGGACATTCGGTAGTTGCAGGGAGATAAGGGTTACATTTACAGTACATTGCATGCGAGCTTAAAGAGCCTAAAATTGCAGCTTATTAACGTAGATGGGATGTTTTTGTGCTAGCTGGGATAGCTCTGCACTAGCCTTTTATTTTTGTTCCCATTTGGGATAGGTATTATATTAGCTAGTTTTTGTGACTCTGGGTAATATTGTAATTTTAATATACTGTTTATAAGATAGTGAAAGTAAACTATAGCTTTTAAAGAGAAGTTTTTGATTAAAATGTTTGGGATGCCATCTGGGCCCGGAGCCCTGTTGCTTGGGGATCTCTTAATTACTTCAGCTACCTCTTTGGGGGGGGGGGGGTTAGGGCGTCCTGAGGGACTATTTGTGTATCCATATCATTAATTTCTTTACAATATTGTGTGATTTCATCTTGTTTTTGTGTATTTACTTGATTATTTGTGTAATTATCTTGGAAATATTCACCGAAAGCGGTTCCTTTTTGTTCGTCTGTCAAGCACACTTTGTCATTGTAACTCAGTATGGGAAGTTACGAGTATGGTTTGAACCTTCTCACAACCTTTCACACCGAGTTGTCTCTTACATTTACCGCTTCCAGGGTTCTCTTCCATTTTAGATTACGAAATTCTGCTATTTCTTTCTTTATTATTTTTCCTAAGTCAAGCATAAGAACCCTGTCCGCGGCTTGTCTGTGTGTTTGCCATCGTTTTCGTAAGTTATTTTTGTGTCTAATCAAGTCCGTAATCGAGTGTTTCTGTATTGGTAATGTTATTGTTAATAGGTATGTTTGCGTCTAGTGTTTTTCTGTACAGTTGCCAGTTTGTTGTCTTGTAGTCGTGTGTCTATCCCTGTATTCTGGGGATTATTCGTGAAGTTTTAATCTCCAGATATACAGGGTCATGGTCTGACGTCATCGTTGTAATTGTTCTGACATTGTCTATGTTCGTTATGTTTTTAGTTACCGCAATGTCCAGTGTGCTTGGCGTCGAACCCGAGAATACCGATCAAGGAGAAGCGACAGCTTGGTGTTTTCTGGGTACCGTTTTGATACGCGCATGTGCGAAAATAAGTTGTGTATCACTCAATGTCATGTTATCTGTCAAACTCAGTCCAAGTTGTGTTTAGTCTGTGAGCTGTTATGTGATATTTTTTGGTGTTTTTTTGGTGTTGTAATAGAATGTCTGGATCTGGATATTTTTGTGCATACCGTTCTTGTTCGTCCAAAACCGGCCAAGGATTAAGTTTATTTAGTTTTCCGAAGGACAACGAACGGTAAATATCATTATTAATTAATTAATTATAATTGTGTATGATAAAAATATTTCCAATAGATTGCATCCCTCTTAGTACGATTCGGGGTACAAACATACCCCACCGTCACTATTTTCATCATATTTTAGTAATATTGATAATTGTTTAGTCTAGTATTTACCCAATAAAAAAAAAATTTTAGTGCAAAAATGTGGATAGAAGCTTGCAGTAGGGAAGATTTACTACCGAAAATATTGAATGTCCACAAAAACTATCGGGTTTGTGAAAATCATTTTGAAGGAAAAGGCGGACCTACAAGAAAAATCCTATTACCAAAAGCAATACCCACAAAGTTTCTCAACCTTCCTCCAACAAAGAAAGAAACACCTGATAAAAATTATGCAGAATCAGGAGAGCCTCCTAAAAAAATTATTATATTGTCAGGTTTGTTTTAATAAAATATTGTTCTAAATAATAGTAATAATAATTATTCATTAATATAAATATTGATTAAGGAATATAAAATGATAACATATTTTCAGATATTGTAGTTGTCCCTGCTCGTACTGACATAACCAACAGGTCCTTGGCTCCTGGTCAATCATTCCCACCTGGAGAAGAAGCCCTACTTTCTGATGGTAAGTTACTTAAAAATAGATTAAAATCAAATTTTTTAATATGGTTATCTCTTTATATACACACTTAATTCCATTTGCCAAATAACCATTATTTTCGAAATCTTCATGATAAGTTTAAACGCACCTTTTTCGTGACATAATACAATAAATTTCCCTACAAACTGGGGTATTCTAATAATATTTCACTTTTTATAGTAATAAAATATTTTTTTAGGTCCAAATACCTATCAAGGGTTTGGTTCGGATCTAGGTAAGGTTAATATCCCACCGCTATTTGTGCCGAGATCGACACAAACCGATTCACTATTAGTAGTCGTTCACCTAGAAAACATAAGTTAAGAATGAAATTAAGAAAATTAAGAAAAAGGATACACAATAAAAAAAATAATTCACCGA